TAATTATTTCATAAATAAAATTTAATAATTTCTGATTTTTGAAATTTTAAAACTTGTTTTTTAGTTTTGAAATGGGTTATAGTTAATATATGAAATTTTCCCAAATCGAAATTCAACCACTCAAATTGGGCCTTTTATATTAATGGGCCAAGTAATCGAAATTAGATGTCCTGGCCAAGTTTCTAGTTTGAATCCGTATTGAACCCAGACTAGTTGACGAATAAAAGGACCTCATAGTTTATAATTATTACCTCTCACCTTTACGCGCGCAGAATTGGGAAATTGAGAAAAACCTAGTTGTCTCATATTCGTGATCGTACACAAATTCACACACACTGCCTTATAGGCTGCACAAAAAAATCACGAAACTACAAATCGAACCGAAGTTATTGGTTTGAAATCGTTGGTTTGGGTCTACGTGAACCCGCGATTTTTTTTCTTTCAAAACTAACCAAACCGTTTCAAAATGGTTTGGTTTAGATTTCAAATTTTAAAAATCGCAAAAAACCAAATCAAACCGCAATTTTTTTTAATTTAAAAAATATTTTTATTAAATTATAAATTTTCATATATAAATTTTATTAAAGTATAATTTTTAGAACTTAAAATATACTTTCTTGAAGGGTACAAATTTAATTAACATAACTCATGCATAACAAACAAGTCAGTAAATCATTTTCATTAGTATTTAGTTGGGCCTTTGTTAAAAAAAAAAAATTTAGGCCCATAATTATAAAATGAATTAAACGTGAAATTGTGAATGTTGCCCAACCATATATGCAATTGTGCATTTGTAAAAACACAAGCAAACCAAAGTTACAGACCCTAGCTCCCTCCCTCTATCCCGCAGCACCGACGCACGCCAATAGGTTGACTATAGTGCTTTACATTGCACATTTTTATGTTTTAAGACCTCCTTACTGTATATTCCAACAAATGAATATACACCAGTAAAAAATGCAATACATGATATAATTCACCATTGTTTTATTGAAAATCCAAATAAATTGTGAGATTTATTTATTCATGATGCTAAATGCTAATATCACGATGTACAAAAATTTATTATAAATTTTAGTATTGGGGAATTCATTCCATGGCTTTCTTCTTGTATCACCCTGTTGTTTCTTTTCCATAGCTTAGCTTCCTTTGTTGTTTCTTTTTCTTTTTTCAGATATGGATCCAATTTCAGAAAAAGTCGATGCGATTCCATTAGAGGATGACCCTAAAGATATGAAAATGGATGGAAAAGGCAAAAGGGGAAACAAAAGGTCCGATGTGTGGGGTCATTTTAAAATGCGAGGAGATGAAAAAATAAAATGTAATTATTGTGGACAAACATATAAGCATTATGCAAAAAACAGCGGAACTAGAACATTGTGGAATCATCTCACGCATTTGTGCAAGAAGTATCCATATAGAGTTTAAGACAAAAAGCAAAAGAGAATGACTGGTTATAGCATGTTTAAAATCGGATAGCTTTCTAAAGGTATTGATAGTCGAGAAGAACATGTCAAGTTTGTTCAAAAAAAAGTTAGAGAACATATTACAAGGTAATTCATATTGTCTGAGTTACCTTTTCGACATGTGGAAATGAAGGTTTTCAGGGTTATACAAAATATTTTTTCCCAAAATATGTGTTTCCTTCAAGGATGACAGTAGTAAGAGATATATATAATTTGTTTCTAAACGAGAAGAAGAAGAAATTGAAAGAGTTGGGTCAACATAAAGTTTCTTTGACTACTAATTGTTGGACGTCAATACAGAACGCTAGCTATTTATGTTTAACTGCTCATTGGGTTGATAATGATTGGACACTTCAAAAAATGATTATAAGTTTCATTCAAATCCCAAGTCATAAGGGTATCTGGTGGGAAATGAGTTGATTTCTTGTCTTAAAGATTGA